GGGTGCTTGAGACCTATGCTTGAGACGCGCAAGTCAGCAATATTTCTGATGATTTATTGGTGTGAAGTTTCGTGCACAATGACAAACAGGAGCGCAACATTTAGAGATTGAAATTAACACCCTCCAACCCACCAAATGCGGGTAAAAATGAACTTTGGCGGGTAACGCTGTCAAATCACGAGCCAATCTGGCGTATTTCTTACTCACTTTCTTTGCTGTGGAAGTTCGTGTAAGCCAAATCTGCGCAAATACGCAACTCGTGAGTCCTCATGATATATTAAATACAGCGTATTGAGCAGAATCTGCGCATTTCTGGCTGACTTGAACACACACATCACTACGCAACAAATAACGGCGCGCTTGTTCACTTGCATTGAAGTAATAGCGAATATTAAAAAGCATTTGGTTAACAGAAAAGACATTGTTATTTTCCGCCATCCTACATGTTCTGTGTGCTGTATTGATCTGTCCACCTAAAACACATTTTTGGTAAAAAAAAAAAAAAAAAAAGGCCGTTAAAATCGATTCCCTATTTTCGTTTTCGATACTTGTGTTGGTTGGTCCGATCGATTGTGCAATCGATTTTCGAACGTAAAGTGACAGCCCTAGTTACGACTGTAACCATTGTTCCCTTAGAAGGGAACGCGATGTTGCGTCGGCCTGCCATACTTCCTGCATTCCTGTGTGCAATTTGCTTCCGCGGTACGCCAACACGCATCACGGTACGACGTTCCACCAATGAGTGATTACACAGGTGCTTTAGACGCAATCAAGCAGAGGCATTCCCATAGCTTCACTACTTCTGACACAGCGTCTCGTTCCCTTCTCAGGGAACAATGGTTACAGTCGTAACATGAGACGTGTTCAATAAAAATATATACAGTACATGTATATAACATTATTTAAGGGAAATTGTCTTTCTCAAATGGTTTGCTTTGCTTTCTCACTGAAGCAGGCAGCTCAATGACCTTCACTTCAAAGCATCAATTTTGGCCTGTTCTCCATGATCCCTTTCTTCCCTCTCAATGTTTTCATCTCTGTTCAGTGCTGTTTTCTATTTGCTCTTGCATTGACTACATTATTTTCTGCTCAATAGTTTCTGTATACATCTCTCTTTTAAACTCTGACATCCTTCTTTCTCCTTTGCCTTTTTGCTTTTTGTGTTACACTGTCTAGCATCTCAACTGGTTTTGCTTCAGGAACCAGATTTTACAATGGCTTCCCTAATAAAAAAGACGTTTATTCAAGTGTTCTATTAGTATACTTGTTTTAAACTAAAAATAAGAAAGTATACTTTCAGTCTACATTTTATATACTTCTCAGAAATATACTTAAATTACACTTAAGTGTACTTGACTTATACTGAGAGAAAAGTCCAAGTATATTTGGCCTGTACTTGTACTCAATCTTTTGATCGAGATATACTTAAAAGTATAATTTATATTCAAAGTATACTTTGGCTTGTAGTTGTGTTACCTCTTTTGATTGAGTAGCCTATTAAATATACCTTTTTTTTACATAGTTTTTCATATACAGTCTTATGAAACTTACATTGTTTGAAAATATCGATTAGAATATTGATATAAAACAGGTATGTTTCTAATGCGTATCTGAATTTTTGTGTAGGCTAGTCCACTGGTAGTGTACATAGGAATTTACTTTAATTCTACTTTAGGCCGTGTGTCCACCAAAGCGTTTTTAGCCAGCTGAAAACGCTAGACGCTCTGCTGAAGACGCCTAGCTGGGCGCTTGAGAGCGTTTTGGCAGCACAGCGTTTTTTTCCGTTGAGACGTTTCGTTGCTATGATACAGAATATCCGCAGCACAGTTTACTTGTAACTGATTTCGCAGATAATTTGTTTCATACTAAAAAATAATTTTTCATCCATTTTTTTCGGTTATCTCTGCTGGTTGATGTCGTTGTACAGAAAGAATGTTGTGACAGTTGCTCGGTGTGGTATTAATCCCGCCCCTCCTCCACTGTGATTGGACGGCTGGGTAAAAAGTGACAGTGATGAGCGCTGCGTTTTATCCAAAGTTGAACATTTTTCAACTCTCGGCGACCAGTAAAAAACGCAGAGCTTGAAAAAAACGCTCAGCGCCTCGTTACGCTCATGGCGTTTAAAAAACGCGGCGCTCCCATTGAAAACAATTGAAAACATACGCCAGGCGCGTGGAAAAACGCTTTGGTGGACACATGGCCTTACTTTCCCCACCATACGCTGATTTCACGCAGCCGCCATTTTGAAATCGAAAGCGAGGCTCCGGTGGGAAGAAGCCCGGAAGTACAGATAGACAACAATGCCTTGGACTACCAACCTGAAGCTGCTGCCGCGATTTACACTATTGGATGTTAATATCCGATATGATATGTATATAGTTCGTTCCTGCTTCTTTTTTTACGTTCTGAATTATATATAAAAAAATAATTTTATTTATAAATTAATTTCACTGTATATAGTCTAAAGTATGAAAGAAATGTATGTACATTTTTAGAATAACTAATTTCTACATTAAACACAACAATACGCCATCGCGTTCGCGACTCTCCTATGAATAAAGGTGACACTTCCGGTTATCTTCCCACCGAAGCCATTTCAAAATGGCGGCTGCGTGAAATCAGCGTATTGACTGAATTTTCCAGCTATCCATGTTTTCACTGTTATACGGTAGGGGGCGCTATGACATCTTCTAGTACAGAATCTCCAGATCAAAACACAGGAGAAGAAGAAGCCGAAACAAGTGATAGAAGATTGTTCACTCAAATGTAAAATAACGTGATCATCAAACATTAAACAGCATGTAAATTAAAACTGCTTAATGTTACCAAATGAAATGTCGAACCCATAAAGAGAAAACGACTGTGAAGCTTTGGGGGTGTTGGACTCGATCTACTCTGTGTTTTGATCATCGTTCTGAATCTGATCAAGGCGTAACTAGTCTTTGACAAAAATGTGATTTTCTCAACTTTTTTGTTTAAAATGTTGCCTTTCTTTATGAAACTTACCGACATTCAAGTGTTAATAAAAAAGGATGCATGAAGCTAATAAAATGTTTTAAAAATTAATTAAAGTACAGTTAAAGGTATTTTTCAAGTATAAAAAAAAATAGTATCTACATTTGAACATAGTAGTATACTGCAAGTGCAAAAATAATATATAAATAGTAAACTATATGTATAATGTTAATGAAAACGTACAAGTACACTTGCAGTATAAACTACTAGTAGTTTACTGTGAGTACACTTCAGGGTGTACTTTCATAAACTAAAAAATTACTATTAAAATAGTAAACCACTAGTATACTTATAAGTTCACTTGTAGTACAGATGAATTACAAATGAGAAAGCTAGTTGTGTACTTAAAGTTTACTACTGTTACACTTATAGTGCACTTAAACGTATACTTTTATATACTGAAAGTTGGCCAATATAGTCCCAAGTAGTATTGAAATAGTACACTTACAAGTTTACTCCAAGTACACATTGATATTAGTATTACTACATAAAGTATACTTAAAGGAACCGTATGTAAGAAATGTATTTCAATTAATCATAAAATGGCCCTGATATGACACTAGACATTAAGAAATCATGTTTATTTCAAATACTTATATCACTGACAACAGTAGTCCGGCCAGGATATTGTAATTTAAAAAGTGCAGTTGCAGCCCTCAACTGATGTTGATGTTGTGTTTTGGTCTGATGCGCCACCCTCCACCTATCTACCAATCACGAAGTCAGTAGTGTTGCGGCATCCGGGTTGCCAGCTCTGCTGTAGTTACCACAGCTGCAGCTACAAACGTGTTGGATAAAAACATGTCTAACGTTACGAATAAAAAAAAACTCGTTATTATTCCAAAATACTTCGTGACAAAGTCCGAAATAAAACAAGGATTTGTATAGGAGATGCCTTTGAAAGATGGAGACGGCTGAAAACGGAGAAGAATTTGCTGGATCCTGCAGCCTATCTGGCAACCTCGAGTCAGGGGGGAGGGGGAGGGGATACACCGCTCTACAGTAATTTGAAAGTGATTGCAGTACCTGTTTTGGTCACAATCTTACATACGGTTCCTTTAAAAATATACTTGAACATTCCTTAAGTAGACTTCATAAAATGAACTTGAAGTATACTTCTTTTTCGTAAGGGTGTGTTCATAACAAAAGATATGGGAAGTATTTTTTCCCATTTAGGGTGTTAATGTGGAGCCTTTTATTTTGCCCTCTCATTTCCTATGTCTTTTCTCTCTTGCAAAGTAATTTAATCTGGTCCACTTTGCAGTTTACCATAGATATAAACACTAGATGTCGCCTTGGCTACGGCAGTTCATTGGAACGAATGCGTCAATAGAGCCGCCATCTTGAAACAGGGGAATCCCTCATCAGCGTCAATGTAGGAAAAGGTCTAACGGAAATAAAATCACCATAAATCATCATGAATGCGATTTTCTAGTTGTTTTGGTTCGTTCCAACGGTCAGACATGTATTTATTATAGAGTCCAGAGAAATTTTTAAAAAAAGAAAAAAAAATCACAATCTTGTGAAATGTAATCCCTTGCTGTCTGGTTTTTAGATTTCGTTCGTGTAAACATCCATACGCAGCACAAAAGTCCGGCATCATCCATGAATTCAGCGTTACCTAGCTACTTCCTATGACAAGACCCCTGTTCCAAGATGGCGGCGGTTTTGACGCATGTTTAGAACCCCAAGGCGACATCTAGTGTTTATATCTATGGCAGTTTACTCTCAATAAGAACCAGCCACGTCTAGACCGGAAGAAACCGTCTGACAGACTTCTATTAAAGTGACAACCACAAATATATATTTTTTTTTTTTTTTTTTTTTTTTATGTGCTGTTTATAGATTTAAACAATATATAAAGTGTGTGATTTTGCATGCAGGTCGTCATTTTCCATTTGCAGACTTCAATATTAGTTTGTGGGATGGTATTTTATTCATGTAATCACCATGTTGACCTTATGCGTCTCTCTCTGTCTCTGTAGTTTGGAGGTGGAGAATGGACCCTCTATCGGCTGCAGTCCATTGGACCTACAAGTGTCACCGGGCTCTGGTATGGTCCTGCATCCCAACATGGCCAGTCACGGGCAACGGCGAGAGTCTTTCCTTTACCGCTCAGACAGTGACTATGACCTCTCGCCCAAATCCACCTCTCGCAACTCCTCCCTTGTTGGAGAACAGTTGTGAGTAAAAACTCAGCACTTTACACCTTTACTGACACAATAATACACCAATACTGGTACAATAAATCAAAGGTGCTTAATCCAGCTACAGTTAATTTACACAAAGAACAGCACTATTTATTTGTTAGTACGGAAGCCTTAAGACTACATTTTAAATTTTCTCGTGATCTCGACATAACAAAAGTTGTTTTTGACATAAAAAACAATTATAACTGCAATTTGATATTAGACATTCAGTCTTTTCTTCAACATTAAATGACGTGGAGAACAAATCTGAGCAAACAAGCTTAGTTTCATGAATTTATGATGCCCGGGAGGCTAACAGCAAATTCTAAACTGTGATATTAATGTTGCCTACTAGAGGAAGCCACAGGATAATGTTGAGTCTTTAATCTTTTTCTATCGGTTTCAATCCCTTTGAATGGAAACAAATGCATAGATCTAGTTCATTCTCACATAACCTGGCACCAGCTCAGAAGCACATGCAGCACAAGAATTACATGTCTTAAGTTATATTACAGTTTATTCTCTGTAGTATTTCTGCATTCCAGGATTATAAAATATAATAATTTCTGCTAAAATATTTAATAAATAAACATGATATATTTATTAAAATGTTTACTTGGTCATGGGCCATTGGTGCTTGGACCCGATGAGGTCCATAAAGGTCTGTTTAGTTTCGAAATGATGCTTTACGTGCATGATCTGAACGAGATACAGCATGAACTGCCACTATTTTGTATTTTGTGATTACACGTCATTTAATGTTGAAGAAAAGATTAAATGTCTAACGAATGTCCAATAATAAATCAACTTTTATGATAGAGATCATGAGAAAACAACTTTTGTTGTCGGATGTGAAAATGAAGTTGTGATCACGAGAAACAACTTTTGTTAGGTCAAGATCATGAGAAAATGAAGTCGAGATCACAAGAAAACTTTTTAATTTGATCTTTTTTATTCATTTGATCATTTATTCGTAGTTTTTAAACTGCATTTGTTTGTTTGATTTTACCATATGTAGTTATAGTCTTTTATTTACTTAATTATTCATTTGTTTACTTATTTTAGTTTTTTATTTGATATATTTTTATGTTATATTGTTATTTTATTATTTATTTAGTAATTTATTAAATTTTTACTTAATTTTTTTAATTAAATTTTTTGTTATATAATTTTTTTTTTAGTAATTTATTTATTCGTGTAGTAGTATATATTTTTACTTTTGGCAGATTTGCAGTGATATGTGACTGACTTCTGAAATTAGGAAGCTTATATATATTTTTGTCAGGATGAATTTTGCTGTTACCTTACATTGTGTTTTACATATGATTTGATCTCATAGTACATCATATTTATTTTATTTTTATACTGTTTTTAAACTATTGATAATTTTCTCATCTTATTTTTTTTTAGCCTCCTTGGAGAAATAGTCCTTGACAAATTATTTCACAGTCTAACATAACTTTCCGGCAGAATTTAGCTCAATTGGTACACACCTGAATCAGTAAATCAAGGTCTTCAGGTTCACCACACCACACAGGCAAGTGTGTGAGAGCAGGTTTGACATTAAACTCTGCAGTAAGGTAGATCTTCACGAATAGCACTCAGCACGTCTGCAATAAATCATTCAAGTCTTTGCAGCTGCAGTTCAAAAAGAAGTGAAACTATAGAACCAATGCAGAAATAATGCATAACATAACCTCTTTAAATCTGAGACTTTCGGTCTTAACATATTGCTCAGTATATCACATGAAGTATGAAGTAAACAACTAATAAAGTAATTTATTTTGAACGGAATGCGAATCATAGAATGGATGGACAGTACAGCACACAGGTTTTGTAATCTGTATGATTGTTTTGTGTTCTTTGGTTGTCAGACATGGGGAAGATCTGATAGTCACTCCTTTTGCTCAGGTACGTTTGGCTTTTGCTTTCTGGAATGGAAGACTATAATGAACAAAATGTGAATGATTTTACACATTTTACACATCTGTTTTGCTGTCGTTTTATTCAATAGGTGCTTGCAAGTCTTCGCACTGTTAGGAATAATGTCAGCTTCCTGACAAATGTGCCGTGTCCCTCCAGCAAGTAAGTGACGTTTACATGCGTTTCATGAAATGTAATATGAGAAAATACCACAAGAGGGCAGAACTCACTTAATATGTTTTGTCCGATTGGATGGATGAGACACTAACCTACTGTACTGGCCTTATAATGACAATAGTAAATGTCTAATGACGTCTATTGATGCTAAGTCTAGTGTGATCAGTTGGTGATGGAATTATCAGTTTCTATTGAATGTTCTCATTTATTTTCCTGCTCTTCTTTCTAATGTATTTATTTTTCTGCTTCACTTAATAGAAGATCACCAGTCAGCAGTCAACCACCAATGACCAAAGGCAACCTGTTAGGTAAGATCTTCTGAATCCATTCACAGACGTTGGACTGAGGAAAGTTCCCTTACAGTGGCCGTGAACCTCAATGTAAATTACTCATGTCATCTTCGCTTGAAGGCTTACAGTATCATGAAGGGACGACTAAGATTTGCGTTACGAATAAATATAAAGTGGCAAACTACTTATTGGTTAGGTTGAGAGAGTGTTAAAGGATCCTGGGGAAAAGGGTATCTCAGTGGAAGATGTAAAACGTTTCAAATGTGATGTCACCTTTTCGAATTTTTACCACAAAACAGACATTGGTAGATTAATAAGTACAAATGATTTTGTTATTAAAATCAGCATTAAAGGCCCAATGAAGTAGCTTGACAATCTCATGTTTCTTTGCTATGTTTGGGCAGGACATATTGAAGGACCCAATCAATCATTCAAAAAAATGTTGTATGCTTATGCTTGAGTCCAAGATGAGCCGTCAATATTTATATCAGTTCAGTTTGCCATATTATCTTGGGGTGTTTATGGGGTTTCATGGGGTGTTCAAATGCAGTGGTGTAAAGTATTTGAGTAAAAGTAATTACTTACTGTACTTAAAGGCGTCCTTGATTATGATTTCAGTTTTTTAACTATAGTTTGTGTGTAATGTTGCTGTTCACATCTGCAAAGTTACGACGCTCAAAGTTCAAAGCAAAGGGAGATATTTTCTTTTACAGAAATTGCTTTTTAATGACTACAACAACGGCTGGTAGGGACTACAACAAGCTTTTTCCTGGGATGGTGACATCACGAACCCTAAAATTTACATAAACCCTTCCCCCCGGGAACACGCCATAAAGGGGGTGAGGCCATGTTGGGCCGCTTTAGAGAAGAGGAAGAGTTGTTGTCGCTCTTTTTTACACCCCGGAAAACGTTTGCATATAATAAGCATAATTTTCACAATGCAATGGATAAAAAATCCTTTTGATTCTGGGGTGAAGAAGCAGTGGCGGAGCCAGAGGGGGGTCCGGGGTGGCACTGGACACCCCTGACATGCGATTGGCCACCCCGGGTGCCACCCCAAAATTTTATTTGCTACTGGCAGTTGCTGATGCTGATATATTTTTTTTAAATTACGTTCGCCGGCAGCGCGGCGCGCGCAGTTTTCAAACGGACGAGCAGAGGACGAGTGATGGTTGCAAGATACCGAACCTCACCGAATAAGAAAGCATCATATTTGAAGTAAGCTTTTAAAGTTTAGCATCAGGGTGGTTTGCTCCATAGCCTACATTAGGCCTACACGCATATACAGTACCTTGCCGCGTGTACGTTACAGTATACAAATGTTCTAGCTAATGTGAGGATAGGAGATCAAAACGCAGGCAAATAAGAGCAGAAACAAGCGATATCATAATGCGATCACTATAGGACTATGAAGCTTTATGGTGTAGGTTGTTGATGGACTCGATCTACTGTGTTTTGATCATCATTATGAATCTTATCTAGATGTAGTCTTTGATAAAAATGCGATTTTCTCAGCTTTTTGCTCGTTGCTTTTTATGAAACTTGCCACCATTCAAGTGTTGATTAAAAAAAAAGACGCACGAAGCTAGAATAACATTATTTTTTTGTTTTTGTTTTAAAAGCACAGGGTTTGTTCTTTCTTTTGGTATGTTCAGATATTCACACAACAAAATATTCTGGGGTGCCATGAAATTGTGAAAATTACCAAAACCACTTTTTTTTATACTGGCGAGAAAGATTTAAATGTTGGTAATTGGATGATGATTAGAATATGAATATGATTGGAATCATATTTTAAATTTGTCATATTTTTGAACAGGGTCAATTAAACATGAAAAGAAAGGGAGAGATATCAGAGTTATTTTAAAATAAGCACAAACATAGTCCAGTCATTTTATGAAAAAAAAAGGTTGAACAAATTGCAACAGAAGCAAACTCAAATAATTTTGTATCCTCATTATGTCCTGAGTAAGGAAACAAAGTCCCTAAGAATCCCATTATAGGGGAAAGTTTCGAAATCTGTTTCTGGGGATTCACTTTTTATTTTACTTACCTTTTGTCTTCTGCATTCTCCTGTTCTTCCCTTAGACTCGTCCCCCAGAAACAGTCGCACAGACCCAGAACCCAAACCCCATCTCTTAATAATTAAAAAAGGCTGGTTTCTAAAGTTCTTCTTCCTGCCTCTATGTATTAATGCTCATGGGTAGCCTAAATGGGTTCCATTCAGACCTTAACATTAAGTATTTTACTGTTATGTGTCAACAAGATTCAACAAGACATTTTCACCTGGCTAGACTCAATGTTTAGATCTGTTGTGGTATTTATGCAAATTAGCACATACGTAATTAGATTATGCACCGTTTGTCCTTAACAAACGATTTAAAAAAAACTTGGAATACATTTTTTGTTTGTCTTGATGTAAGTAATCAACTCAGTGATTTTCATGGTGATATCTAAAGGTTAAACTTTAAAAATAGTTATAAACTTTATGAATAGGCTATATTTGCTTTTGTTTTCTAAACTTTTCCTAATGGGATTCTTTGGGACTTTTTTTTTCCTTACTCAAGACATATTGAGGATACAAAATCAGTTGAGTTTGCTTGTTGCAATTTGTTCAAGGTTGACCCCCATTTTGGCTTAAAATGACTATACTAACAGGCAGATCAGGTGCAAACAGACCCGCCAGCCCTTGCATCACCACTGGCTAGTCAGAGTCAGTGTGGTCAGACTTCAGAACCAGCAACAGGTCAGAGCATCTACCACACACAGGCAGTCAATCACATACCCAATTCAGGAATTTAAGTTGAGATGATTTTGCCAGATTAAAAGGATAGTTCACCCAAAAATGAACAAAAAAATTAATTATAAATTAAATAATTAGAATTAGAATTATTATAAATTATTATAAAGAAAGAATTATGTTGTATTTAATCTTCCCAGGATAAAATTTTATTTTGATGGGCAATAAAATTGTTTAACTTTTTCAAGGACATGTCTGCTTGATGCCTGCTATATCTAATATCTAAACTAAAATAAAAAATAAAATTTTTTGTAAATGTTAGTTTTTTGGTAAATAAATGCAGCAGTTCATAACAGACACATGCGGTATCTTATCTACTTGGTGCTTCAGCTTTGTTTTCTGCAAATATTTTGGATGTTCAACACTTATAGACACAAACAGAGTGACCCAATTCCTTCCACAAGCTTTTCCACTGTGTGTGTACTGTGTACCCCCGAAAGTAGCAGTGGCCACCCCCTGGCCACCCCCTGTATAAAACTCTAGTTCGGCCACTGTGAAGAAGTATAAGCCGGGCATGTTCTTGTTTTTGTGAAATGAAGCAGCAGGTTTTGTTGGGCTCTTGTGCACGTTTTAAACACTCCCTTATCACGGTTAGTACAATTGGCCACCGCAACTCTCTCCATCTGAGCGGCCTGAAAATCCCACCGTCTCTGAAGAAGAGAAATGAGAGTGTGGGTGTGAGTAGGTGGAGAATGAAAGTTTGAGTAAGATAACATGCTTGCATGACCTCTTACGCTCACACAAACCACAGAGACGCAATGTGCGTAAATGCAGTGCCGCGACACATATATAAAGCTGTGTTTATTGCATGCATGCGTGTGTGTGTTTGAGCGGGTGTGAATAGTCATGCGTGCGTAAGCATGCAAGAGCAGGATTATGTGCGCACAGCTGTTAATAAAAGTCATGAAAGTGTTCAGAGGTTTGTGCGAGAGTTTAAGTAAGTGAGTCTCATTAAACATATCCGGGTCATATTTCACCCCAAAATCAAAAGAAAGAAATACTAAATACAATATATATGATGTATTATTTAAATTTGGGGTGAAATTGCATTTAATTGCATTTATGGAACCATGTATGTGTGGGCATGTTTTTTATTTAGACCTACTAGAGAGAAAAAACAACCACATAAAAGATCAAATACACACATATATAGACTTTTAAGCAATATTTCTACTGCATATATACGTTTATTTTGTGATTTCATTGTTCCGGCCCGGTTTTTGATCATGGTAGTGTATTTATACATCATGGTATTATTTGTACTGCCGTAGATTTGAACTTAAACACTATTGTGAATAATGGGAATATATATATATATATATATATATATATATATATATATATAAACTAATTCTTATTATAGTGAAGAGAACAAATGTGCTCAATTATCATGAAAATATTCACAGTTCAAAAAAATCTTAATCGTCCTAAAACAGGCCTTTTATGCAAAATATAATTCCTTTTTTTCTTATGTGAGGTGAAATGTGAGATTGTACAATGTTTTTGTAAGATTTTGCCAAGTGGTTTTTGGTTTATGCTGCAAAAAAAAAGTCATGCTCACATGTGTAGTAAATGCCTGCAGGTGTGTTTATTTGTGCGTGTGAGTGTGCGCGTGTGTGCGTGTGTGTGTGTGTGTGTGTGCACACGCTCCAGGTGTAAAGGCTTGCGCCACTGATCTACTGAGCTGAGAGTTGAGAGGAGGGGGGCAAAGGATTGTGGGATGTTTTGGTTCCTGTTTCAGAGGCCTCTTAGCCTCATTGACGTCATTCACCACCCACCAACCAATACCTTCACTTCCTGTGCGTTTGAAAGCGTAGACTCCTCATGGTCCTGGCAGGAAGATACACACACACACACACTCACATGCTGAAAATGGTGGAAAACTCTGCTCACATACGTTGCACAAGCATATTAAGTACAAAATCAGAGTATACTGTATCTAATGTTGCGCAGTCCTCACGTAGACCGCTGTCCCTGATGGCTGGTTGTGTGTGTAATAACACAGCATGAGGATGTTGCTGTTATTTGATTGCGGGGACTTCATTGCTTAATACTTTAACTGAAATGTTTCATGACTAAATGCTTGACTTTCACTTTTACTCTATACATTTAACATGGCGAGGCTACATAAGGGCCAGGCTGACACTGGCCCACTCAGATTGACGGCTAGTACAATTAATCAAATGAGATACAAAAAATTTGTAGGAAAGGAGACAAA